CCAATTCCACGTTATTTTTGGCAAATCTACAAAAACTCGATGGTCAATTTTCCAAGTTTTTTCAACCTTTATAACATTTTCTTGCACGATCCAATAGGCATAAATTCAGCCGTAATAAAAGCATATTTTTTATTACTGTTACAGACAAATATAATTTTTCAGTTTTTTCTTAGAAATTAAGAATATTGACAGATCTGACTACAGCGCGTTGTGTTCCAGAAAATCGGCCTATCCGTCATTCTCCGGTTATTTGCAATAGCAGGGACAGAAGTTAGAAACACGATACACACACTAACGGTATGCTGACTTTCGATTCAAATTTTGTCCAAACCGCTCAATGACGTAATGCGAGAGTAACTTTCAAATTATTTTGACACTTCGATTGAATAGTGTAAAATAATTTAATAATTTGTTTTTGTGTTAGTAGTGACTATATTTTCCTATATATAACAAGAAAGAACTGAATTAATGTTTAAAATGCTGGGCTGCGCGATGGCGACTTGCAAAAACCATAATACGAAATCCAAAAATAGTGTAATGTAAGATATTTCCGAATGCCACAAAATGTGGACAAATTCTTATCGAAGATCGGACAAACTTAATTTAAACAATGCGGTTAGTAAAATGCACAAGTATAATAGGTTTGAGGAAAGTAGCTGTGAGATTCCTCTTAAACATAGATACAAGAAAAGGAAACTGAATTCCACCAGGTGCATGGGGCGTCATTGAGCAACGAAAATAAATAGTTATTTTAAAAACAGTAGTTTCCTGTCCCAATACAATGATCCCTTTTGAAGTAATACTATGCATGAGCAGGACAGGAACTTATATAGGAATAAGATACATGAACCGAAAAATTAGTTTTGAGTATTTTCAAAGTAAACTTGACAAAAAAAATAAGTTATTTTTGTGTACTTACTTTTTATAAATAATTTGTTTCTGCACACTTATATTTATTTCACATAATAAGAAAAGGGATTGCAGGAGAATTACCATGCCCAGAAAGTACAAATTTGAGTCAAACTTGTATTTTTAGTCTATATTGTTTACTTACCTTATGGCCAGGGTATGGATTTTGTCACAAAATACCTATAATTTATGAGGAAAATGAATATTTTTATTAGTATTATTTACCTTAAACATTCATATTTGTTAACGAATATATTACAAAATAACCAATAACGCTTAAGTAACTACATAAAATTTAAAACCGGCGAAATATGGAATTTCAAACATTATCTCCCATTTAATGTTAATAATTCCAAAGTTACTTTGATAATTCTATGTCCCACGTGACGTCACCGTCAGTCAGCTGCATGCGCAGGAACATACCGTTAGTCTGTGTATCGTGGTTGGAAAGGCCTTTGGTAGGTAGGTAGAGAGGGAGTAAACGTCAAACCACGTCGGATGACTTCGACAATTTCGCGATGTTTGTTCGCCATAGTCGTCTTATAGAATAAAAATAATACCAAACGTTTTAAATTATTACCGGCGAAATCGGGCAAACGTATCTATTTATAAACTACAAATATTTAAACAAGTAATAATATCCCAAATCATAATTCTACAATAGCTATTTACACTTTATTAAACTATTTACGTGAAATTTTTATGAAATACTTTTCTACGACACTGTTTCGTGTTCACTTCGGTTAGCTCTGCGTCAGAATTGTCAAATCTTGTGTATGAAATGGGAGGAACTGGCAAAAGCCTTTCCAAGGAGGTAGGTATTTAGAAAATTAGCAGGTAGAATTTTAAATAATATTTTAAGTTGACTATATATATTGGAGTTTGCTGTATTTGATATTTAAGGTTGGAGTTTGCTATATATGATTTGTTCATGAAAGGAGATTGCTGTTTATGATAGTAAACTGTGGTGTGAAAACATCCAGGACTGTATTCAATACAAATTTTTTATTTTATTGGTAATAAAGACGTCCATTGTAAAATCAAATATTAATAATAATAATTGTCATTTATTGAACTGAAAATTCAGTCCAATAGGCTATCGACCGAAGTCCTTCTGCCTATGTAAAATCAATTCACGTGTTTTAAGTTACTATGCTCTGTTTTTAAACTAAGAGGAGCGATTTGAATTTAAGTTGGCAATTCTGTAGCCTTCTGATTAGTCAGTTTCACACATTACTTTTTAGCATGAACATCTGCTAATAATTGATATTGTTGACAGTTCTGACATTTTATAATTTGATATCTCATCCATTACTTAGTTTTTTACTTTATTTCGTAAATAATAGTTCTTCAGTAAGCAATTGTATTGAAAATCTACAATTATGGATCCTTCTACACTGAGTACTATTAAAGGTAGCAATTCCTGAAAAGCCTTACAAGAAAGGGAAGACACCTTATTATTTTACATGCTGATTCTAAAGGTTTTGTAGCAAATGCATTATTGGTTTTTGAAGGTAAAAAGATGGGAGATTACCATGAAGAGATGAATTCCGAAGTATTTTAGAAAAAAAAAATTTTATTACTGATTTTTTAAAACTAAAAATTGATGAATTTCTAACCAAAATGATTAAAAGGTATCTAAATATTCAAGCAAATTTTATTTATTAGAATAGAATAAAACTATTTATAAAATTCTTACAACAATTAAAACACCATCTACTTTAGGGATAATCTTAATTTGGCACAATGAGTTAACATTACTTTCACAAAAAATATTTTAAAAATACTTAAAATTAATACATAGGTATGTATGAATAGTTCACTTTAAAAAATATATGTTGACATGTAGTGTTATGAAAATTTTGGTTCCAGTTTTCAAAACAAATTCTGACTCATAGGCCTGTACACTTTTGAATGCCTTTATTTGCTCTCTAGCGCATTAACCATGGGTTAACACTAAATAAGCCATAATATCCACATTACTCATAGAAGAGATACCAGTTACTGTGTGATCCACTTGTCATTCACTGATAAACTTTTACTTTTTATACCTATAACAAATATATCCTTAAAAATGTAAACAGATCTTTATATTTTATACTAACCTGGCTACATCTGGATATTCCATTAACAATTTTCTTAAATATTTAATACCCATTTTAAAAAGATCATAGTTATTCTCAAAAAGTCTATTTCAAAAGCAAGAAAAAAGTATTTCTGACATCAATCAACAACCATATTGACTTTAATTTGACAGTGACATTTCGTTTTAGACACACATTTCAGATCACAATAATCATTGCGTTCGGTCTGCCACGTTCTTTTAACTCCTTTAACACTTTTTACTCCAAACGACCCTTTTAGCGTTCGGTTTAGTCCAATGAACTGGAGTGTGGTAGAATGCTTGTCAATAGGCTTGAGATGCGACTCTATGGGCGAAGACAGGTTATTTTTCATCTCACTCGGGAGTATTTATAACAACCATTTTCTATTTCACTTTGTTATTGTCTGATTGAACAATAACAATGTGAAACAGAAAATGGTTATTCTAAATACTCCCGAGTGAGATGAGAAATAAAAATGGCTGCGCACATAGAGTCGCATCTTGTTCACTTGATACAATATGCACATTGGCTTTCTACCCCACTCCAGTTCATTGGTTTAGTCCGATTAGTGACAGTTTAACACGCTTAAATATTTAAAAGCACCCTAAAAAACTCCGCTTTTGTCCCGCTCCGGCCCCTGACTATCCGAACTCGCCTAATGTGAAATTTGCGACCGTTGTCTGGGACCAATTAAAAAATTACTTCTATGACATTTATTCGTTTCTTAACCGCTCATTGGCCGTTCACCGACTAAGGCCGATAAAGATAATTATTTCATAAATTTTGAACACGACTAAATTTCGAAACTCGTTTTTAGTAACAAATCTAGTTACTTTTCCCTGTGTAAATGCGTCTTTTCAATTCGCTCCTCCTAGTTTAAAAACAGAGTATAGTTGAACAAATAATTTTATTTCCGGACTTTTGCACAACTCTGTATATTACAAAATATCAATAAAATATTATGATGTTCTACACTCCAACGTATTATGTACTTAATGTAGGAATTTATATGTGTTTCTTATTGTCAATAAAGATTTACTAATTGCGGTCCTGAAAAAAATGTTGCTTATCTCAATTATTTCGTCTTATTTGCTTTCCAATTTTTAGCATTTCTAACACACTTTCCTGCACGTTTTTTGCCTACAGGAGTACAAGGGACCTCCATTTTATGAATTTTCACTAAACAATTCTTATTGTTTTATTATTATATACTAAAAAACAGTAATTAACTATGCACTTGTTGTTACAAATCGACTACAGCTACCATACTGGTTAACTGCTTGTTATTGGCTGAAAGTGATTTTGCTACTTTTGTTATGTCAAATCTGGAGATTGCTGTTTCTGATACAAACTTACAACTTTGCTGAATGGTTTTAACGGCTTATTTCTATTTTTGTTACAAATTAGGATCGGATATATTAATAAACAAACATTCCAAACCGGTACGACACAAAAAGCTTCAATCGAAAAATTTGGAGTTTGCTGCTTTTGATATTAGACCCCTGAAATATAAAATTATTGACTTGAAATAAATCAAAGTTCGACTTAAATCGCCATTTTCATTACATTTTTCCGTCACTTGAAGTGCGTCCATCTGTCATATCCCAAAATAGTGTTTATGTAGTCTCTACTTTATTCTCTCGGTGCATATTACCTACCGATTATATATATCTACTCTATAGTATTTACAAATCTCATGGAGTAGGTAGTAATAATTTCAGTTCAATAAAAATAGGTACTTTTGTTAAAATTTTGAAAATAAATAAATCCTGAAGAAATATTTGATATTCTAATTTTTTTTCGTTTCATTTTACAACGAATAACTTATTCAATTTTTTTTATAAAACAATATACCTTCCCAGATATACAGATAAATCCAATATAGGAATTCAATTTTTTAGAACAAATTTCTAAACTGTTTTTATGTATATTACTTTAAATGATATTAAAAAATATACAATTATGCAATAAAAATATATAGGTATACGCGATCACACTAGTCCAAAACTACTGACGGTAGAATAAATAACAACCCACGCTATAAAAACACAAAATGTACCAACAAAGAAATAAGTCTTTTTTCGATTCCAAGGACTGTCATTTGCCAAATCTGGAGGAGTGTAATTTTGCCTCGCTTGACGACAAACGTGAGGAGTACACACTGTATCTGTCTCTGTACTTGTCCCAGCAATTTGTCCATTAACTGTTATTTTTGGCGGTTCACCTGATTTTGAGTCCCCTTCTGTCTGGACAGTTTTGTCTAAAACGTTTACTTTAGTGGTCATCTGAAACAAAAATATCACAATAATGGGAAATACAGACGTATTTTTTTATCAACAAAATTGTTTAGAATGGTGATCTCATATAAATCACAGCGATTGTTAAATTTCTTACGCCGACTTTTATTGAGAAAGAGGTCTAGTACTGAGTCCCATTACAATAAAAATAACAGAGCTGCGTCATTACTTGGCGAAGTACTTCGTTGGCCATCGTAGCTACTAGGGATTTAGTGGCGTGTTAATATTATAGGAATATAGGAATTATTTTTTTAAACTAAACAGTTTACTTATTAGGTGTGCCTGACGATGAAATAATTACTTCGAAACCGGTCGCCAATAAATTGACTTTGTAAGAAATAGAGGACATCGTCGTACTCAATGCCAACCACTCACATAAAATGCTACCCTCATCTCTAAAATTTAATTATTCTTTATTTATTGATAGTTATAGATATACAGTGTGTCTACTTAAGTTGGAACCATATGGAAAACATTTTTATTATTGATTTTAGGAAAAAAAGTTATTCTTGATAAAAAGTCCTGCATGACCCAAAACTTAAAATACAGTCATCAGATATCAAATTTTTCAAGCCGTATACGAGGTTTGTCAAAAAATATGAATTTTGCTCAAGAGTACGTTTATTTTTGACAAAATCGAAAATTTTCATTAAGAAAAGTTGATTAGAATTGAATAATACATTCAAATATGCAATTACACCGATCTATCTGAAAAAACAGATTTTCTTATTTTTTATAAACTCTACACTCTACACATTGATTGTGAATATCTGAAAACGTTATAAATTACGTTAGCTACTATAAACATGATACGCTTTCCTTTTGTTGATGTTTGTGAAGAATTTAGCAAATTTCTTAATGAAAATTTTCGATTTTGTAAAAAAATAAACGTACTTTACTCTTGAGCAAAATTCATATTTTTTGACAAACCTCGTATACGGCTTGAAAAATTTGATATCTGATGACTGTATTTTAAGTTTTGGGTCATGCAGGACTTTTTATCAAGAATAACTTTTTTTCCTAAAATCAATAATAAAAATGTTTTCCTTTAGTAGACACACTGTATATTTCAAATTTGAAAAAAATTATTATGACGTTCTTCTTATTGTAATCAAACTCTAATTTGAGGTGAATATCAAATAGTGAGAAAAAAAAAATGTTTAGCCATTGGAATTGTGAGTTACTGTCTAAGTATTATATAAATTAATTAGTACGTCATAAATAAATTGTAAATAGTGTATTTTAAATAAATAAACTATAAATAAATTAAACTATCGTCACATTGTTATAACTCACCTTCCAGAAACATACTTTATACTTTTTAGTAATAAAATATATTTTTAAAAAATCATTAGTGTTATTCAAGATATAACGTCTATTTATCTTTTCAGCTTATTTCTAATTACTAGGTTTAACCACCTATGCTGGTGAGCACGCTACCCTCAAATACAAGAAATTTTACCGAATCTTCTGGTGTTCCAACTACAGAGTTCAACATCTCTGGTACGACTACATCGCCGCTGAAAGATGAAACACCCAAAGCTACATTTCGTACTCACTGATATAACGCCTGCCAGCTGTGGTATGAAATTACGTGCGCAGTTGTTTGGACTTAATCTCAGATAAACAAATGAAATATAGGTAAGTAACGGGCGCCGTTTAACATAGGCTTAATATATATGAACTTTTGACAGTTGTGATCTCCATGGGCGTATCAAATAGTTTTTTCATCGGAATCCAAAGGATTGTTTTTTTTTTAATATTTTACTAAAGACAAATTTAAAGAAAAATGCAATTCAAACATAAAATTTTATTACACAAAAAATAAATTCAATTTTTTTTATTCAAATGTAATAAACGATATTAATAAAAAAAATGGTTTCAAATTATTACACTGTTAATATTGTTTATAGGTAGAAACATATTTTTTTTATATTTAGGTAATTATATAATCTGTATAAACATAGTATCTTACTGTAATCAAGCTTGTTTATCAAGCTGATAAATAGAACTACCTCGTCATTGGTAGTTCGATTTTTTCGGAAGCCCATTTGAAACGAGGATAGTAAATTACTTTTTTCTAGTATCCACATCAGTCTTATATCTTATACTTATCATTTTTTTAAGAACTTTACTGAGACAGCATGTCAAAGAGATTGGTCGATAATGTTTTGGTATAATTGTATTAAAAGGCTTTTTTGTTTTTCAGGAAGGTTGGTAACAAAGTCATATATGATTTGATCATGTCCTGGTGCATATGTTTTGGATTCCTCTAGAGCGTAGTATAATCCCTCAAGTTTAAAAGGGGAGTTGTATTCAAAATATTAATCTGTGTTAAAGTTGGGATGACTGTTTTCCTCGTTTTGCACATTTGTTATTTGACTGACCTGTTGGAAATGATTAGCTAGCTCGTTTGCAATTTCGAATGGTTCTGCAAATGACGCGTCATTTATTATTAATTGTGGAGAGTATTTCTTGAACGATTTTCTAATTTCATTACGGAGCTTTTGCCAGACATCTTGCACTGTAGTGTTTGAGTTAATAGAGGTAATGTACTCGTGCCAAGATTTTCTTTTTGATTCGATAATATGTTCGTTAAATATATGGAGATATTTGATTGGGCGAATTTAAGAAGAGTACTTGCATGGGAAGATGTTCAAAAGATATTAGATGTTTTGATTAAAAAAGGATACGTCGATAGTAATAAAGATATAGAAATATTCTATGAATTTATACTAATCTTTAACTACATTACATCTCAAAAAGTGGTAGATTAGAATAATCTAAATGTTTCGACTGAAAATCGTTGGGTGAAAGTATTTAAACATTTTCAAACTAACAATCTGAATCATGTTAACTTTAGTACTTTAATAGAATATATTTTGTGCCTACCTGGAACAAACGTGCTAGTAGCAAGTGTTTTCTTGTTAAAGAACAAATTATGGACTTCCGAAAAAACTCAGCTGCAGGTGCCTGTTCTAAAAGCTATGTCGATCACAAAGGTGGATATTAAAAAAACCTGCCAAGAATTTCATTCTTATTTAAAATCTTCACCAGCTGTATTAAAAGACATGTTCATCAGAAAAATATAAGTTCATGGAAAATAATTGATTGTAACAAGTTTTATAAATAAATGTTTTCAACATAAAAAAATTGTTTTTTATTGTGACACTGTTTGGAGTTAATATTGTAAGGAGTTACTGCTCAGATCCGGGAATGAAAAAGGAACGATCTACGCAATCTCACAGGAACCCATGACAGAACATTGATATCTAGATAACCACACGAGAAGGATAGGTTTCTTACAAACATCGGACTCTCGATTCTGCAGCGACGAAGACGAATCTGCAGAGCACATTCTATGTCCTGCTTCGCTTTGGAAAAAATAGTGAAGCCCGACTTTAAACAAGTCTCAACCAACTTAACCATGGCCTTCATCAAAAGGTGTAGCTTGCACGATGAACTATAAGTTAGACATGAGCCACGAATGCGATGAAATTTATAACTCCATAGATGATCGAAATTACAAGGGAATAATTGTAAATGAAGTTATAAAAAAAGTAAAAAAAAATCGTGAACAAATATTCAGTAGAAACATTTCATTGTGAATATTTTTCTCTGACCTTCATTCAGTGGCCTATAACTCAGTAATTAAGACTTTCACAACAAATACTAATTGACAAAAAAAAAATTAAAGCAGATGTATGATTTCAGTGGCAACCACTTTTTAACTGAATTTAATTGTCTAAAAAAGTAGATGGTCAAAGAGGTGCAAAACCCTGTTAAAATGCAAAACCCTGTTAAAAACCTATAGAATTAAAACATTTTTAAACGCCATTGACTCCATTTTATTGGCCACTGTACATTATCATCTCATATACAGTTTCATAAAAATATGTTTAATCATTTTAGAGTAGTAGCAAAAAATTTCTATATTAACACCTTCGAAGTTTTTTATAATCCATTTTTATAAAGGCATGTTAACTTAAATCAGCTTATTTTCGATGCTCGAAACTGTGGGTAAATTTCCTGTACATATTTTTGTACAAACTGTATTTATGTTCATAGGTTTTGTGATAAGAGGTTTCAGTTTTTTAAGAAAACATATAGAGCCTATTTAGTAAATTGAATATATATGTATGGTCCGCAGGGGCGTGCGGTCCATGGGAGCGGGGGAAGCACCGCTTCTCTACACTTTGAGATTTAAAAATAAATATTTTTCAGTTTACAATGCATTGAAATTAATATTAAATTAGGTACTATAGGTTTCTCTGAAACATTACGTAAACTTCGTAAATGTACTAACAATTCATTGGTGTAATGTGTAAACGCACGCACCACCCATGAGAAAATTAATTGTGTAAACGCACACCATATACTTCGAGTCCGTCGGTGGAAGCGCGTCTTGAAAAAGCCGGCTCATCTTCCAATTAATTTCGCTTCGTGTTATTGACCCTGCTTTGCCGCGACAGTGTCAGTCTGTTTGGGCACGTAAAATACGGTCAAGAGGCAGCGATTTTTACGTCGCCTTACGCATATTGTAATTCGCACCGCGAATCGACGTGTGAGGAAAATCGTAGACTTCAGATAGATTTCGGTTTCGTAGTTGTTTTTCTTTTTGTAAAATGGAGGAACTATGCACTGTGCCTGTGAGCAATAATAATGTAGTAAATTGTGTCAGTATTGTGTCTGTATTGTGTGCTCTTTATTGAAAAAAGGATTTTCAAGTAGAAATTTTGAAGAGAAAATAGACATTATTAATTCTAGTAGACTAAAGGATCCTATCAATTTAGAGACGAAAGTAGAAAAGTCAGCAAAGAAATGTACCAGGCATTTTCACGTAGGGTTCTATGAAAAGTATGAATGGTTAACCGGCTGCAAAACTTTGAAGAAATTGTTTTGCTGGCCTTGCCTACTTTTTAATATAGCCGAAAAAACACTTTGGAACTCAGTCGGTATTACAGACTCGAATAATTTTCACAAAAGTG